CGGCCGATCCCATTGTTCAGCCATAAGTGGGGGCTCTTTCAAACAAGTCTGGCAGCTAAATAGAACCATATTCTTCAAACAAAAATAATCCTATCCCATCTGAACTTTATTTCCTCTTCAGTTGTAACCTAAAAAAAAGAGTAACTGCAAATAACCTTTTTTTCTGTGGTTTGGTCATAATAAAAATAATCCTTGCATTTGATATAGCGCTTTTCGCGTCTTTGAGGCGTATCACAGCGCTTCACAGGACATACTGTAACGTGGATTGACTGTGTTTGTGGGCGAAATGCGGCAGCCATTTTGTGCACAGCAGCGTCCCACGAACAGTCGTGGGTCGAAGTCACCAGTTTATTATTTTTTTTTGTCACTTGCTCAAAGTGCGCCTTCAAAATACACGGTGACGACACTTCTCAATATATATATCCTGCTCTGAGAGCTCCTCCCAACAGGGAAGGCGTCATTTTATATACAAGGATGAAGTCCTCAAGAACAACTTGAGTTAAAAATAATCCAATGTTGTACTTTACTCCTCTTGGCAACCAGGACTCAATGGTCACTGGTTTTGTTATTTTTTTTATTGTTGAATCAGAGTTCAATTAAGTATTATTAAGTATTACTCACTCAGACATAAATCTCAATTTCGTTCCACGTGTTCCTGAAATCTTTGGTGATTGCTTTTAGAATTCTGTGTCTAATCAGCCTATGGTGAGTGCATTTGTACATAAACTTTGCCTTTTCATATTAGTTGCTCTCTGGAGCTCTTAGTCTTTGAACCAAATGATCCAGGAGCGAAAAGGGGTTAACGCCTCATGACAAAAACACAAACTAATTTGGATTTCACTTTCTTTTTAGTCAGAGGAACAAATCTGGGCTGATAATAGAGCAACCAGTGTTGGATGGTTCAAGGTCACCTTCCCCTCCGCTCGACTGGCTCCGGCCTCCTGCTTGACCCCGTGCCCTCCGCTCTACCATCGGTGGCTGCGCTTTCAGCCACTACGCCCCGAAACTCTGGAATTCTCTCCCTTAATCCCTCCGTCTCGCCTCCTCCTTTCCTACTTTCAGGTCGCGCCAGAAGACCTTTCTCTTCGATCGTGCTTACGGTCACCTCCCCACTCCCACCCGGTTCATTGTGGTGTCAAGTGCTCCGGGACGCTATATAAGTGCACGTTGCTGTTATTGTTATTGTTCTCTTCCTCTCTCTCCCTCACTCGCCCAGCATTATGCAACAATCCAAGACGATCCTGTGTGAAGGGCGCGACGTAAATGCACGTTGTTGTCGTAGACGTTCCTGTCGTTTATAAGTAGATCTGCCGCTCTATTGCCAAAGTGATTCAGATGATTTTTCCCTTTTTCGATGAATTTTCTATTGATGAAGACGAGGAGGAATACAAATGAGTTGAAGAATATCAGTGTTGGGTGGAGTTTGCAAGGAGAACCAACGGTTCAAAATGGCACTCAGGAAGGATCTGTCACAGCTCCTTTGAACTAGTTTCACACATCAAGGAATCTGAGTTCAGGTCAGATGTGCCAGGGATCTCTGCATAAGAGCCCACTCTACTGCACTATTTGTGGAGTCCTGTGGCTCAGTGGGTAGAGCACTCGCCTCACAAGCGAGAGGACCTGGGTTTGATTCCCAATAACCGCTCGATAACCACTGAGCTACAGGATTCCGAAATAGTCAATTCACTTTACAGTGTATTCTGTGAAGCGCTTTGAGACGTCTCACAGACGTTGTAAGGCGCTGTATCAAATGCAAGGATTATTATTATTATTTAAAGACATTTCATTATCCGAGCTGCTCATTAAGAGGCTGAACATTGTGCAGTTGAACTCTATGGTTCTAGCGCTGGTTTCGAGTCCAGTGAACATGCCAGAGGTAACACCTGCTCTTGCCCTTACTGCCCTATTGCATTCCGTGAATTTCCCACTTGCATCGATCGCACCCGGTCACATTGCACAACCCAGATTTCCTTTCTGTACTAACAGTCATTGCAGTGAATGCGCACTTGTTAAAGAAGACTTTTTAATTCCAGCCCCCTCGCCGCACGTCACCACAATTTCTTCCTGTAGCTCACTGATGATATTAAATTGCAGAAATTACAATAAAGCCTTAGTTTGGGAGAATAAAGCATGCTTTGATTCCGACTGGCAGCTCAGCTATGCAGCAGACAAGGTTATTAGGGAGTGTTTGCGGTCGGGATAGCTTATAAGAGGCAGTAAATTCTTTCATGGCTAGCCTCACGTACTGTGTTTGCAGAGTAATAATAGACTGGACAGGTTGAGTTATTCCCCTATTGTGGAGGTGAGTATCGATCTATAATGATTAGAAGAGACGTTTTAATTTTGAACCTGTACAACAAGAACAACAACTTGCATTTGCATAGCGCCCTCCACGCAGAGTAGAGTCACATAAACCTGTTGACAACCACATTAACTCCATGTCATCATTTTAAAGATTCGCAGCTTGGAACACAAGTTATTAAACAGCTGGTTACGTGTTGGCTCTTGAGTTAAAAATCACCTCTTTTTTATGCTGCGATTGGCTGCGGGGACAGGACGGGTCAGGTCTGACTCGCGACGGTGGAGGAGTGTGGAGGACACAGTTGTGATTTCTGCCCCTCACTGTGCAATTGTGCGGACATCTTCCCATTCTAAACCCCACAACCGTTACCGTGTTATCGTAATCCTTGCATTGGATACAGCTCCTCATCGCGTCTTCGAGACGTCTCAAAGCGCTTCACAGGATACACTGTAGAGTGAATTGACTGTATCGACGGTGGGCGAAACGCGGCAGCCAATTGCGCACAGCAGCGTCTCACACAAACAGTCCACTGGTTCTGCTCTTCTCTGCTCTCTCCCCAACGGTCATTTGAAGGCAGAGTGCCCCTCGCTGCACACACGATTCTAAATGTGGCTTCACCAGCGATCGATGCCCAATTTAAGCGCTTTGGAACGTCTCGAAGACGTGTTGAGGCACTGTATCAAATGCAAGCGTTATTATTATTATTATTATTAAGAATAATTTCTTCTCATAGTCAAATAATCACAAGATGTAATGTGGCATTTGATTAATCTTGTTGACACCTTGAGGCAATATTCTTCCTGGAGAGAGGGCCAATGATACGTGTGTTGCTGCAGGAGTGAGCTGGATGTCTTTTTTTTCTCAATCCACACTTTTTTATGCCCTCATTTTATTCTTACACTCCTCATCTCTGCTGCTTTGATAAGCTTTGCAGCCCAGACTTGGAACTCATACATACAAAAAAAAAGGCAAAATACTGCAGCGGCTGGAAATCTGAAATAAAAACCGAAGTCGCTGGGAACACTCAGCAGGTCAGGCAGCATCTATGGAGAGAGGAAAGTGGGTTAACGTTTCAGGTCGATGACCTTTGGTCAGACCTTTCATCTCTCTGTCCATCCCTCTCTCTGTCTCTTTCGCTCCTTGTCTCTGTCTCGTTCTCTCCCTCTCCGCCTCTGTGTCTCATTCTCTCTCTGTCTCCATCGTTGTGTCTCATTCTCTCTCTCTCCGTCTCTGTGTCTCATTCTTTCTCACTCCATCTTGGTGTCTCGTTCTCTCTCTCTCTCTATCTCGTTCTCTCTCTCTCTCCATCTCTCTACAAAAGCAATTCAGAACGAAAGGTCATTGTCCTGAAACGTTAACTCACTTTCCTCTCTCCATAGATGCTGCCTGACCTGCTGTGAGTTCCCAGCGACTTCTGTTTTTATTTTGGAACTCATACTTTTTTTATTTTCACAGCGAATTGTTGGGATCTGGAATGCATTGCCTGAAAGGGTGGATGAAGCCGATTCGACAACAACTTTTAAGAGAGAAGTAGATAATTATTTGGGGAGAACAAGTTTGCAGGGCTATGGGGAGGGAGCGGTGGAGTGGGGTTGATCAGGGCTATGGGGAGAGAGCGGGGAAGTGGGGTGGATCAGGGCTATGGGGAAAGAGCGGGGGAGTGGGGTTGATCAGGGCTATGGGGAGAGAGCAGGGTAGTGGGGTTGATCAGGGCTATGGGGGAGAGCGGGGGAGTGGGGTTGATCAAAGCTATGGGGAGAGAGCGGGGGAGTGGGGTTGATCAGGTCTATGGGGGAGAGCGGGGGAGTGGGGTTGATCAGGGCTATGGGGAGAGAGCGGGGGAGTGGGGTTGATCAAAGCTATGGGGGAGAGCGGGGGAGTGGGGTTGATCAGGGCTATGGGGGAGAGCGGGGGAGTGGGGTTGATTTGGAAGCTCTTTCAAAGAGTTGGCACAGACACGATGGGCTGAATGGTCTCCTCCTGTGCTGTGTAATTCTATGATTTTATGATATAGTCTCACTGAGTCTCCAAAGCAGTGTTGGGACAGGTGTGCTGTGTTACTCCTGAGGTGAAAGGCTCTATCCCAAATATAAGAATTATTATTTAACAATTTTCCTGGTGTAACTAATAATTAGGTTAAACTTGAGTGGCTTATTCCCACCGTGATGTGTCACCGAGATGTTTCACTGTGGTAGACATGTTATCAAATGCAATGAATGCTACCGTTCAGGTTTAACATAGAACTGAAATTTTATTTACGGTAAAACAAATATTTTTTTCTCTGTGTCCAGTTCTCTAACAGCGAGGTTAGCGAGTCGCAGAAGCTGTTTCCGAGAATCAGTGAAATGTTACTCTCTCATTAAACATCAAATAAAACCCTCCTCCAGCACTTGCTAACCGAAAAAAATTCATTCATTAACCACTGAGACGGATTATGCACAACCATTAACACGAGTGTGTTTATGGACAAGGATATTAGGTTGATTGAATACATAAAGTTGGAGCTGGAGTGGGGGGGGGAAGGGGTGGGGGGGAAATGATCTTGCTTTATTGCAGAAGAGGAAGGCGGTGCTGTTCTGAGTTGTTTTATCCGCTGCTCGTAATGTAGCTCCCTCCAGTTTATTATTAACAAAGGGAGGGAATACCACACCTTGGGCTGCTGTCATATAAAGGCAGAGGTGTAGGAATTCCTCAGCTCACTTTTGCTCCGGTGCAATTTGGGACCTGGTTTGGAAGTGTGTCGAGCAGAGCCGGGATGACGACCCCCAGCCCGTCAGTGACCCTCAGCCCCGGGACCACCGAGGGGCCCTACAATCCGGGTGTGGCTGTCAACAACCCCGCAGACATCTCAGTCATTGTCATCTACTTCCTGGTGGTGTTGGCTGTGGGAGTTTGGGTGAGTGTTCAGGGCTCAGCGAGAAAACCCGACCGACTGACCGTCCAGTCTTTCGTTCCACGTTACATGGTCACCGAGTAAAGGCGCTGATAGTCAACAAAACCTTTGTTCCTAAGGCGATAGAGGACACAACATCTCAAATCATTGTCTAATCAATTTATTATTAAAAAGCTGATTAGATATGCAACAAGTTTATTATTGCCTTTTGAACCCAATAAAAATTCACAACAGAAAAAATCGAGCATATTTTTAATAACGTTTTGATAGTTACATTAAACTTTGCACTGTTCAAGTTCAACTTCTGTTTCCTGGTGATAAAACATTTTATTTTTTTATATAATGGTGCATTTTGTATTTAATATTGCCGTGTGGTGTGCTCTCACTCAGCTCGGTGAGATTGTTGGCATTTCTGATCTGGTGATTTCAGGGCTGTGGTGGGCACTTGTGTTTGCTTCGTTTGTGTTAGTTTCTCACGAAGGAGAATAAAATCATAGTCACCAGGTTTGACAGCCTTAAAGGTTTTTAGGTACTGTTTCGCCCACAAAATATGAATGAATTGCTTTTGCTTAGCAAGTACGGTATTTTACCTGGAGTGCTGTATTTGACAGGTAGCGGCTGACAGGGAGATTATAATAATAATAGTAATAATAATCCTTGCATTTGATATAGCGTCATATCACACCTCTCAAAGCGTTTCAGAGAATAGTGAATTAACTGTACAGTTTGTGGACAAAACGCAGTATTTAATGAGAGAGTATTTAACGATAGGCAAGTTTCCTTAGTCCGCGCGCCTCTGTTTACCAAGCAGTAAAATAAGATCCCAGTTGTTAGTCGATTGCCAGATCCCTTTTCCAGGGCTAACAATCCCTTCAAAAAAGGAAATAATAATAATAATAATTTGGTCGCTCATTCCATTACTGTTTGTAGGACATAGCTGTGCGCAATTGACTGCCGCGTTTTGCCCACAAAATATACAGTCAATTTGCTTTGAGACGGCTCAGTGCTAAGGAGCAATACCAAATGCAAATATGATTATTATTATTATTAGTAGTATAATTATTCACTTTCCCTTTGTCTCAGGCTCAGCGATAAACTCCGCCAATGAGATTGATGTAACGCGCTTTATAAATGCAAGTTGTTGTTGGTGGTGGTGGTTCAGTATGGTGTCTGAGGCTTGCATTTAGCACAGGAGCAGGTCGGAGAGTCCTATAAGAGGGGCATAAGTGTGAGAGGCCAGTTGCAGAGCTAAAGGAGAGTTTAAGAAGAACTGCTTAAGAACATAAGAATTTGCTGGCGAATGAAGACCAAGAGCCTTCTAATTCATCTTCCACCATCCTGGCAGTCGCTTGACATGTCGTGTCCCAAACTATATACTGTTTCCCCAGATATTACTTTCTTGCAGAAATCTGTCAAATTTGTTCTTGAAACTAACATTTTCTGCTTCCACTGTCTCCCTGGGAGCCTGTTCCATAGGTTTACTGCTCGCTCATTGAAATAGTGTTTCTGCAGATTTGTTCTGAATTTACCCCCTTCAATCGGAGACCGTGTCCTCTGGTTCTACTGTTCATTACAAAGCTTCACAAGAGTGTGTGGATCTCACTGCCAGAAGCCGTGATTGACTGTTTGTGGGACACTGCTGTGCGCAATTGGCTGCCGCGTTCGCCCACAAATATACAGTCAATTCACTTTACAGTGTGTTCTGTGAAGCGCTTTGGGACGTCCTCCTGACGTGAAAAGCGCTATATCAAATGCAAGGATTATTATTATTATTATTATTATTATTATTATTATTATTATTATTAAAAGACATCAATATATTCGTCAGAGCAAACCTGACGTATACAGGACACAAAAGGGAAAGGAGGAGACAGGAGAGGGGGTTAGGAGGGGTGAAATCCTGTGTGGATTCATGGACTAGTTGGATTGAAGGGCCTGTTTCAATGAAGGAACATTCTCTGTAATTCTAATTTTCACTCCAACTGGCCTGAATGAGAGTAACGTGAGCTGGTCTCACTGCCCCTTGTGGCTCCTGGCACCTCATTGAAGGGCTCATTCCTCATGTGTTAGTCTGAAGGGTTAATGGCAGCATCGCAGAGACCAATCCTGTCTCACTCATGCTTTACATTGGTATTCAAACAGGGGGCACTGGATAGTAAGCAGCAACAACAACAACAACAAATTACATTTGTATAGTGCCTTTCACATCGGGAGGAAGTCCAAAGGTGCTGGACAGACAGAGTTACGGACCCGAGCTGGGGATTGAGGTCGGGGAGGTTGGAGGCAATGGGGGGAAGCAGGGAGATCGAAAGCACAGTCGAAGAGGAGGCGAGGGAGGGGGCAAGAAGGAGGGACTGCGGGATGGAGTTCCAGAAGGTGGGGGCAGAGTGGCGGAAGGCACGCCTGCCAATAGTGGGGCGAGCGAGGCGGGGGATGTGAAGCAGGCTGGAGCCCGCTGAGCGGAGGGAGCAAGCAAGATGGTAGGGGGTTAGGAGGTCGCAGAGGTAGGGGAGCAAGACCACGGAGGGCTTTGAAGGTGAGGACCAAGATCTTGAACTGTATCCTCTGTGTGATGGGAAGCCAGTGGAGTTGGGTGAGGATGGGGGTGATAGGGTCGTGGAACCTGGTGCGGGAGAGGACACAGGCTGCAAAGTTCTGGATGATCTGCAACCTGTGGAGGGAGGTGTTGGGGAGGTCGACAAGCAGTGAGTTTGCATAGTCGAGCCTCGATGTAATGAAGGTGTGTATGAGGGTCTCGGGGGCCTGCGGAGTGAGACAGAGTCAGAGCCGGGCGACATTGCGGAGGTGGGGGAAGGCAGAGCGGGTCATGGCGCAGATGTGGGGTAGAAAGGATAGTTGAGGGTCAAAAAAGGGTTGAGGCAGAGAGTAGATTTGGGAGTCATCCGCATACATATGGAAGTTGACCCCATGTCTGCGGATGATGTCACCAAGAGGGAGCATATAGATATTGAAGAGGAGGGGATCAAGGACAGAGCCCTGAGGAACATCACACAAGACGGTGTGGGGACTAGAGATGAAGTGCAGGTGGCATGAGAGGTACGATCTGAACCAATCAAGGACAGCTCCGTGGAGGTTGAGGTGAGCGGAGAGGTGGTGGATGAGGATTGAGTGGTTGACGGTGTCGAAGGCAACAGAGCGGTCAAGGAGGACGAGGAGGCAGAGGGAGCCCTGGTCGCAGATGGACAGAATGTCATTTGTCACTTTGACCAGGGAGGTTTCTCAGCTGTGACCCGATTGGAGAGGTTAAATCAAAATCTGATTAGAACCTAATGGATCTTAATATTCCCACAATTGGTCCGGAGTGAATTAACTGCTCTCATTCAATTTAACGCGGTTGTAAAGTTGAGCCTGGAATGTCAACAATTTTGTAAATGTCTGAACGAACTGCAGAATTAATTAAAGATCAGTGGGGCAGGGGGTGGGGGAATGGGGAAGGTATGTTCACTTATTAGTCCTGAGCTTGGTGTTAAGTTCCAGGTTCTCAATATTATAATAATGTATTCTTTATCATATCTGCTCTCTTTCCAAATTATTCTGCTATTTCCCTTTCCTCTGTGATTTCCATTCTTCTCACATCTCTTGCGTCATTCTTGCAGTAACCTCTCTGTAATAATTAATTGGTTTATTTCTATGTTGCATGTCCTGTTGCAACTCACAGCAAATCCCGGATGTAATTCTAGGGTTGCTATTAACTTTACAGCACTCGGTGTTGAAGAACGACCAATATTCAACCCTGGGAGACCCACTAGAGCACAGCCAACTCTCAATCAAGATCCACAGACAAACTCTTGTCCAGGGGTACTGGCTATTCAAGAGATTTCCTGAGTGCCTCCGCACACAATTCCCGGAGTCCCCTGGGAAAATGGCTCCCGGTTTGTAAAAATATACATAGGCAGTGGGCAAATAGGGCTAGAGGGAGCTCAGCCCCCTCCGCCACCCTACTAAATCCCCCCAAAATCTACCTGCAGAGTGAGAAGGAGTCTGAAAGCTGGCATCTGACATAAACTTATCTTTCGCACAGTTCGTCAGCCTTATAATCTTACCTTTCCCGTTGTCTCCACTTCATCTCCACAAACCGTTTCTCCTCCAGTCCCCGCACCGTCTCGTGCAGCGTTTCTCAGGGCTCTGTCCTTGGTCCCCTCCTCTTCAATATCTATATGTTCCCTTTTGGTGACATCATCCAGAGACATGGGGTCAACTTCCACATGTATTCGGATGACACCCCACAATATCTCTCTGCCTCCAGCCTTGACTCCAGGACCACTGCTGTCCTGAGGGATTGTCTGTCAGATATCAAGCTCTGGATGAGAGCTACTTTCTTCAGTTGAATGTTAACAAGACTGAGGCTCTCCACATCTCAGGTGCTGATAACGTCACTATCTATGGATGCACACGCCACCTCACCGAGCCAATCTGGAACCTTAGCATCTGGTTTGACCTTCAAATCTTATATTCGTGCCATGACCCGTTCTGCCTTCGTAACATCGCCCAGCTCTGCCGCTGCCTCTACCTCTCCCCTCAGACTGCCGAGACCCTCACCCATGTATTCATCATATCCAGGCTAGATTACGCTGACTCTTTGCTTGTGGAGCCCTCTAGCTCAGTGGTTAGAGCACTTGCCTTGCAAGCAAGAGAACTGGGTTCAATTCCAGTCAGGACGAAAGGTTGGGCAAGTTTCCTTACTGCACTCACCTCTGTTTACCTAGCAGTAAGTAGGAACCCAGTTGTTAGTTGATTGGCGGATCGCTTCAAAGATAAAATTAATTTTAAAAAATGATAATTTGGTCACTCAATCCATGACTGTTTGTGGGACGCTGCTGTGCGCAATTGGCTGCCATGTTTCGACTGCAAAATATACAGTCAATTCACTTTACAGTGCATTCTGTGAAGCGCTTTGAGAAGTCTAGAAGACGTGATAAGGCGCTATATCAAATGCAAGGATTATTATTATTATTATATTATTATTGTCGGCCTTCCCAACTCTTCCCACCACAAGCTGCAGATTATTCAGAACTCTGCAGCTCATGTCTTCTCCTGTACCAGGCTCCATGAACCCATCATCCCCATTCTTCGCCCAGTTCCATTGGCTCCCCATCCCTCAGAGGATAGAGTTCAAAATCCTCGTCCTGGCCTTCAAAGCCTTTCTCCTCCCTACCTCTGTGGATGAGATGTTAAACCGAGGTCCTGTTTGCCTGTTCAGGAAGAGGTTGAAGATCCCACATTCCCTCTTAGTGGGTGAACAATCCAATACTTGGTGAATTCTACTTCACAATGATAGGAAGAGCCAACGTCAAAGGATCAAAAAGTGACATTGCTATGAACGCCTTTCAGTTATCCCTGGGGTAGCTTTTCTGACACATCCTGCTTCAAACCCCAAAACCCAGAAAAGATTCCCCCTTGATCCACCCTAATCCTACTTGGTCATTCACTTCATGGCTGCTTGTGGGACAAAATGTCTGCTGCGTTTGCCCATGAAATGGCAATCATCCTAATGTGAAAGTTTTAATTAAATGTAAGGATCATATCAAATGTAAAGATTATTTTTATTAGCAGTGATTACTTGCAGTGATCATTGCATATTTGTCTGGCAGCCAATCTACCTTTCCCCTGCCACTCTTGAGCCCAGGTGCACTGATTCTCCATCCACCTGCCTTTCAGATATTATGGCCTGGATGAGCCACAGTTTCTTGAAACTCAATATGGAATAGACAGAAGCCATGCTTCTTTGCTCCTGCCAATGTCTCCTCACTTCGGACTTTGACCTCCTCAACTTCCCCGGCTTCTCTCTCAAACTTACCAAACTAGTGTGCAACTTTGGTTTGAGCCTCATTTCTCCTTCTTCCTTCACAATCGGTCCCTGACAAAGGGAACCCTTCCACCACATTGCCAACTGAAACCCTGAAACCTTTGTTACCTCCTGCAAGGACATTTCAAAAGCACTCTTCGCTTCTCTCTCTAGCTCCACCATCCATAAGCTCCAATTTATCCAAAATTCTACTGCCCACTTCCTCATCCACGACAACCTCTGCACACCCATCACCCCAGTCCTGGCCAGGTTCCACTGTCATCCTATCTCCCAGTGGATTGATTTCAGCGTCCTCACCCTTGCATATAAATCTCTTAAGACGCCTTAGCTCATTGAAGGTCCACCATTGTGGAAAGTCCCCAGAGGTTCTTTTCCTGTTACTATCTTGTGAGCTCTCCAGGAGGTGAAGTCCGGCTCAAACTCTGTTGAAATGTTCCCACCGTCAATACCCACTGCTACTCCCACATGAGTCATGTCCACATGGAAGAGGTAACAGGGAACTATGTATCAGTGGAAAATAAAAGGAGACAAATGGGAGGGTAGAAAATTGGCAAGGAAAATAAAAGAAAATATTTAAGTGTAATAGTCACCCTCTCCTCCCTTTTTTAAGGTTGGTTTCAAGACCTATTTCCTTGACCATGCTTTTAGTAATCTTTCCCCTCCCACCTTCCTCAGATCCCACCCCCAGTTCGGGTGCCAGGCTACGATTGTTAAGAAATTTTGGACATTGTCCCGACATAAAAATTGTATTAATGTAAATTTGTAGAGTATTGTATTGTATCCTTGTTCTCTGTTAATCACTAAATAACACTAACCCTTACATTAGATATAGCACCTTTCACATCAGGAGGACCTCTCAAAGTGCTTCACGGGATATACTTTAACATGTAGTGATTGCGTTTTTTTGTAGGCAAACAGAAACTAATATCATAAGAGTAGAATGGAGAGACGTCATTTGTTTGAGATTTTGAGAGAGCAAGATTGAATTTGACTGTGATTGTACCTCTGAGGGAAATATCCTGTCAGCATTCCCCAACTAAGACCTGGTTGTGGAGGAGTCTGCACTTACAGGACAGGAGGAGAGGGGATGCTGTGTTCATGTAAATTGATTAATAGCAATTGTAGTTTAACAAGACCTGGTGACGATAGTAAACAAGAAGCTATTTCTTTGGTCAGCCAAGTGTCTGACACTGTGCTTAACAGTCTCCAAACCAAACTAAGAATTCCATGCATCCCACCTACACATGGAAATCCCAGAAATATTTATTGGAATGGAAATACATACTCTCTCCTTGGAGGGACACATCCTGCTTAGCTAATTCTGGACACTGTTAGGCGCAGGTTGGCAAGAGCCAAGGTTTGGGGACCTCAGAGTGTGCATTGGTGTACGGCTGGAGCCTGACCAGCTAAAACTGCAAGATTCCTGCTGCTTGTCCAGCTTGGACCACCCTCCCCATTCGGGCTTTGGTTTGCAGGGTTAACAGGAGCTGGGTGGGAAGAGTAACTGCCTGCAGTGACTAGTCTGGCCTTTGAAGTCTTGCCGATGAGCCAAGCTGGCTGGGCTATCACCAGTAGCCTGGAGTACTGTGGACTCCCCTGGCTCAGGAACTGGATTACCAAGACTGTCGAGAGGGCTGGCTCGATTATGAACATTCCAGTTCAGTTCCAAGGAGCCACAACTTATCTCAACCCTTTTCCACCAAGGAGGTTTGTATCAGACCAGTGACCACACTATTTCTTTGTTTACCTTGTATCAAGTCACTGGAATGGAAACTGTAACATCCAAACATCTTCTCACTTTTTGCCACCTCATTATTCCTAAATAAGAGTAAGGATCAGAAAGGCTCTCTCTCGCAATCTTACTCCTCAGATTAATGTCAGGATTACGGTGATCATTGTATACAATGGCCTTGGAAAATATTCTTGTAGGAAAGTGTGGTGAAAGATGGTACAGCGATTTGAGATTAGGATGGATGGTTTCTTGGAGGAGCAAACATTGACATGAAAAAAATGGGTTAAACGGCCTCTTCACCGTGTCTTAGGTCACATTATGCTACATTACTGTGCTCCCAGACACCATCCGGGGTGAGGGACTCTATATAAATCAAAGTTGTTGTTGTTCTATGGTATGTCTGACACAATAGGAGGTTATGCAGCTCATTTGTTCATTATCTTCACATCTCACCCTCCCAATTTCGAGATAAATTGACAAGGAATATTTGCGAGTAATAATGTTAGCTATTATCTCAGTGACAATCACACTGTTGTGTTTCTGCAGGCAATGGTGAGCACCAACCGTGGCACTGTGGGTGGCTTCTTCCTGGCTGGTCGGAGCATGGTGTGGTGGCCGGTAAGAAACCTTATAGTCCCTGTGTGTTTCTAGAGGTACTGTCTGTTGTCCAAGGGCAAACCACCTTTGGGGAGGGTTATATTATACAGAGTGACCAAAAACTCATGAAATCTACCCTATCATCTAAAAAAAACATTTCTTTAAGACTTATTAAACATTGTAATGGTATCACGACTTTTCAGTCACCCTATAGATCTAAATTGATATTTTTTTTAGAAAAATGATATGAGCATTGATTAACACTTACATGTTCTTATAGGAAGATATGGTTGGAAGAGGGTACAGGGAATTGGGATTAGGATGGATGGCTTCTTGGAGGAGCAAACACTGACATGAAAAAAATGTTAATAGACAAATGTTACGAGCAAGTCTATACATGCCCCAGTTCTGACGAAGGGTCGTGGATCTGAAACGTTGACTAACTTTCCTCTCTCCATAGATGCTGCCTGACCTTCTGAGTGTTCCCAGCAACTTCTGTTTTTGTTTCAGATTTCCAGCATTAGCAGTATTTTGTGTTCTGTCTATACATGATATACTCAGAGGGTTTGAATACACTGAATCTTCACCTAGGATTGATTCCTCAATACAAAACGAACCCATGTTATATCTGATCTATCAGTGCTTGATGGAGGCATTGTAGTGGGAGCTTTACTCTGCATCTAATCCATGCTGGTATCTGACCTAACTGGTGTTTAACGGGCAGTTAAAGAGAGGGAGTTTCACTTTGCATCTAAACTGTGTTTTATCAGATTCAGCTGTGCTCGATGTTAAATGGAAAATACTTTTCTTAACGAAAAAGACAAAATAATTGATCAATCTTTCAACAGAGTAACTCTATTTAATTATGTGAAGACAGAGTTTATTCACAATTTGGATTTCTGTAAAGAAGAAAATGATTGATTTTTAAACAAAAAATACTGTATTGCTTTGTGTTTGCATTGAAAATACATGGAATAAGAACATAAGAGTTTGCTGGTGAAAGAAGGTCCATCTAGTTCGCCTTTCACCATCCTGGCAGGTGCTTGACATGTCATGTCCCAAGCTATACATGTATCCCCAAAATATATACTGCATTAGTTGTTAACAAAAAGTTCCCAGTACACAGTGTGTGTTTTATTGTAGCTGAGGCTGTAATATAATTGTTATTATTTTATTAGATTGGAGCCTCGCTGTTTGCCAGTAACATTGGCAGTGGTCACTTTGTGGGCTTGGCTGGCAATGGAGCTGCTGGTGGAATAGCGACTGGAGGATTCGAATGGAACGTATGTGCAAATTATTTTCACCCGAGTGAATTCCTGATATATGCTGATTATTGTGACAGAGATTACCAACTTGAGCACTGAGTCAGGAGAGCAATAAATTGCAGATTAAGCAATCAGTTTGTGCCGTTAAACAATGAACACTGAGTACAGCATTGTACTCATTTAAATATAGAAAGCACTCCCAAATCATTCACTGAAACAATGATAAAGCTTCTGACGCAATGCTGCTTCTATAAATGTGACCGTATTTCAGAGTACAAGACACAAGAACACTAGATAATTTGAGAATATTGTGTTCCTGGGTATTCTACACAGCTGCAGTGAACAGAAAGTGATTTGGATTTATTGTAGTACCTTTAGTATAAGAAAAAGTTAACAGAATAGATGGTTCATATGCAGAGGCCTGTGATTAGGGCTCCTGACTACAGACCACGGGAAAGCAAGGTTATGAAAACATACTGATTAAGGAAGAACAGGGAGTAAGGACAAGGAGCCACCACAATACGGGGATTCTGGGCTTTATAAATAGAGGCATAGAATACAACAGTCAGGAAGTTATGATAAACCTTTATAAAGGTTAGGCCTCAGCTAGAGACTTCCCGGGTTTGTTCGAATAACCTGTCCGCACCTACACATCTGTTTGTTCAGTTAGCAAGGATCCTGCTGACTACACCAAATTGTTGGGTTCCTTTTACCGTAATTGGATCCTTGCCATTAACCAATGGTCTGAGCACAGAGTTGTACAATCAAGACAGTTTATTCAACAATGCAACAACAGTACAGGTAACAGAAATATACTACCAGACAAGCAGTCTTGCCTGATGACCAGCCCTCAGCTCAGCGACCTGTAATTCTTATTCCGTGGAGCTCAACTTTCCTTTGTATGTCTGTTGTATTTATACCCAGCTGGTACCCGTGATCTGCTCGTGATGGTACTTTTCCACTAGCCTATGTGCTGTCGTGTATGTCCCTCTTGCTTGCTGAGACTAGTTTTCCTCCTTATCCAGCTCCTTGTCCGTACTCCCTGTTCTTCCTCAATCGGTATGTTTTCATAACCTTGCTTTCCCGTGGTCTGCAGTCAGGAGCCCTACTCACAGGCCGCTGCATATGAGCCATCTATTCTGTTAACTTTTTCTTATACTAACAGTGTATTGTCAGCTGCTCACTTACTGTACCTTAGCGTCAAACGTACACTATACTTTGTTTCCAATCCAATTACTTTCCAATCCATGGAATTCAATACAATATCCACATTCAGTGCTGGTTGGCTCAACAACCTGCATTCATCAGGCACCGATCCTGTAGATAAAGCTGTTAAAAAAGCATACGGGATTCTGGGCTTTATAAATAGAGGCATAGAATACAACAGTCAGGAAGTTATGATAAACCTTTATAAAGGTTAGGCCTCAGCTAGAGACTATGTTCAGTTCTGGGCCCCACACTTTAGGAAGGATGTCAAGGCATTGGAGAGGGTGCAGAGGAGATTGACCAGAATGGTACCAGGAATGAGGGACCTCAGTTATCAGGAGAGGCAGAGAAGTGAGGATTATTCTCCTTGGAGCAGAGAAGGTTAAGAGGAGACTTAATAGAAGTTTCAAAATGATGAGGGATTCGATAGGGTGAACAGGAGAAACTATTCCCAATGGCGGGTGGGTCGGTAACCCCAGGACACCGATTTAAAATAGTTGTTAAAGAAACAGAGGGGAGGGGAGGAGAAATGTTTCCACACAGCGAGTTGTTGGGATCTGGAATACATTGCCTGAAAGGCCGGTGGGAGCCGATTCGATAACAACTTTTAAGAGAAAAGTAGATAATTATTTGGGGAGGACAAGTTTGCAGGGCTATGGGGAGAGAGCGGGGGAGTGGGATTGATCAGGGCTATGGGGAGAGAGCGGGGGAGTGGGGTTGATCAGGGCTATGGGGAGGGAGCGGAGCAGTGGAGTTGATCAGGGCAATGGGGAGAAAGCGGGGGAGTGGGGTTAATCAGGGCTATGGGGAGAAAGCGGGGGAGTGTGATTGATTTGGAAGCTCTTTTCAAAGAGCGGGCAGAGACATGATCGGCCAAATGGCCTCCTTCTATTCAGTATAATTCTATGATCCTATGATATAAGTTAAGGCTCATTTAGGACTTGATGTCTAACAGGCATTCTGTCAGGACAGTAGTGATCTTGGAATCAATGGTGTAGGCAGAGAGGTAGAGTTGGGTGTCATATGAATACATATGAAAGTGAACCCTATTTGCCTGCATTGATGTCCCCAAGAGGGAGCATGTAGACAAGCCAAAGTCCTGAGGAAGACCATAGGCAGCTATTTGGGGAGCTGGAGGTGAAGCCATTCGGGGAGGCAAAGTGAAGATGTTGGGAGCTGGTAGGAGTGTAACCCGGAAAGTATAGTCACGGGGATGGACAAAGCAGTGGTGGAGAAAGGTGGAGTGGTCAACTGTGGACAGAAGGGGGTGGCTCCTATCTTTGATCATCTGTAGCAGCCTTGCTCAACAGCCTTGTGTTGGTGTCAGGCCTACAGTCACGGACTGGGGAACAACTCAACTTCGAAAGAGTGTGTCATCATCACACATGGACCTCCATTCCTCCCACCCACACTCCCCCCACCCCACCCATCCCACCCCACCCCAGACTTGCAGATCATGTCACCGAGGGGAAGCATGTATATGAAAAAAAGGAGAAAAAATGGACTTAAGGTTTTCCCAAACAGACACTGAAATCCTAGGATCCCCATCGGGCCGGGTTTGAAAGGCTGAATTTGGTCGCTCAATCCACGACTGTTTGTGGGACGCTGCTGTGTGCAATTGGCTGCCACGTTTCGCCCACAAAATATACACTCAATTCACTTTGCAGTCTATTCCGTGAAGGGCTTTGAGACGTCTCGACGATGTGATAAAGCACTTGATCAAATGGTCGGATTATTATTATTATTATAATTATAAATTGTAATTCCTCCTCCTGTGATCTTCTGCTGGAGGAGCACAGTCGTGTGAATACCTGACCTAACCTTTCACTGTGATTGATCCACAGGCCCTGGTGATCGTCATCATCTTAGGGTGGATTTTTGTACCCATCTACATCAAAGCCGGGGTAAATATCTTCTCGTTTTAGTTCAACGTTATTTAATGTTAAATGTGAAGCGCTTTGATACATCTCAACAATGTAGTAAGATGCTATATCAAATGCAAGGATTATTAATATTATTATTATTACTATTATTATTAGTGCAAAGGACAAGGGGAAAGAGTGTGGAGGAGGAACTGATTGGGTGGCTCTTTCAAAGAGTTGGCGCATGCACGATGGGCCAAATGGCCTCCTTCTATGCTGTGGGATTTTATGATTCTATCCTGTTGTGTAATCTATTTAGCGATACCCTCGGGTTTATCGATGCTGAACTCCTTCTGTTTCTCTCTCCTTCTGAAGGTGGTGACCATGCCGGAGTATCTCAAGAAACGATTTGGTGGCGATCGTATCAGAATGTACCTATCTGTCCTCTCGCTGTTCATGTACATATTCACCAAGATATCGGTAAGGCTGGTGGAAACAGATTCAAAAACAACTTTCAAAAGGGAATTGGATAGGTTCTTGAAAAGGACAAAATTGCAAGGATACCCCCTTAGTTTCAAGTCTCCGATAGTGATAGATTATTTCCCACTGGTCAGTGACTCAGTAATGAAAAGGTGCAAATGTAAGATGATTACGACAATAATTGAAGGGGAGGTTAAAAAGAATAACCACAAATTGCATTTATATAGCAGCTTTCACGCGGAGTAGCGTCTCCCTGTGTTTAATAGTGGCGGAGCGACGGGGTGTGGGTTGGGGAGTAACACTGTCCAAGAGGTAGGGAGGTGCCCCAAGTGTGAAGAGATTTGCATACGGGTGTGTGGATCTTGAAGTTGCTGTATTATAATAATAATAATCCTTGCCTTTGATATAGCGCTTTTCACGTCTTCGAGACATCCCAAAGCGCTTCACAGAATATACTGTAAAGTGAATTGACTGTATATTTGTGGGCGAACGCGGCAGCCAATTGCGCACAGCAATGTCCCACAAACAGTCGTGGATTGAAAATGACCAATTTATTATTGTTTTTGGTTTTGGAGGGATTATTATTAGGTGTGTGGAGTAAGGAAACTTGCCCAAGGTTTCGCCCTCTGCCGGGAATTGAACTCAGGTCTCTCACTTGCAAAGCGAGTGCTCTAACCACTGAGCTACAGGACTCCACATTCTATTCCATTCTACATTCTACTGCCACTGGAGTCTGGCAAAGGCTGGTGTGACAAGGGTACAGAGTTTAGAGCGTATTTAGATTGTATATACGTAGAAAGTGGTGTGACAGTGGAATTTATTGCTAGAAACCTTTGATTGCAGATAGCATATAGTGTCCCAAATGATGCCTTTGATAATTTCACTAAGTCTGTAATCTCAAAGGACTATAGACTTCGCTCTGTGTGACCCTGGGCTGCTTTTTGCCACCTTTATTCTCTGAAGCAAAAAATTATTTTAATAATACACCAGCATTTCAAAGGCAAAGGAATGGCATATTAATAATAATATAATAATAATAATCCTTGCATTTGATATAGCGCTTTTCAAAGGGGTGAGATGAGTGATATAATCATCACATTGAACTTGTTATGAAACGAGTGTCAACGTGGTTTAGTCAGTGGTACTCCCAACTCTGAGTCCAAAGTTTGTAGGTTCAAGCTTCAATTTGTAGGGGCTTTGAACTCACATCAAGGCTGCTGCTCACTGACACTCGACTAATGTGGTATTGAATTGTTGGAGGTGCCGGCTATCAGATCAGAGGTTAAACCAAGGTCCCGTCTGCCTGTTCAGGTGGATGTTAAAGATCCATTTACACTATTCAAAAAGGAAAGGGAGTTTCTCCCTATGTCCTGGTCACCATTCCCCAGATAATTGGTCATTCGATTCATGGCTGTTTGTGGCACAGGGCACAGCAAAATCCCACAGACAGCTGTGATAAAGCACAGCTCTCAAATGCAAGGATCATTAAGGCAATGGCAGAGCAGTCTCGATGGGCCAAATTACCTATTCATTTACGCTCGCAGAAACATAAAAAAATTAAGTCGCGATATAATCATCACGTTGTGAGTTTTTGCGATCACATTTGCGAGTTGTTACAGTCTGGAATGCACTGGCTGAAAGGCTGGTGGAGACAGATTCAATAACAACTTTCAAAAGGAAATTGGACAGGTACTTGAAGAGGAAAAACCTGTAAGGATATGGGGAAAGAGCAGGGGAGTGGGACTAATTCGTAGCTCTTCCGCGACGGGCCAAATGGCCTCCTTCTGTGCTGTAATATTCTATGATTGTATGATAAGAATTGTTTACTAAGTGTGATGTTTTACATTCCCTGCAGGCTGACATGTTTTCAGGTGCCATATTTATCCGGGAAGCTCTGGGGTTGAACATATACGTTGCAGTAGTGATTCTCTTGGCCATCACTGCCCTCTACACTGTCACGGGTGAGTCTTCCTCCGAGATCTAATCAAAGTTTATCCTAAGTGAATGAAATCAAGAAGAGCTGGTTACATAAACAGAAGTTGCTGGGAACACAGGTCAGGCAGTACCTATGGAAAGAGGAAAGGGAGTTAATGTTTCAGGTTGATGAGTCAGCAAAAAGCAATAGTGAGTAACAAAAGTCGAATCTCTAAAGTTCAAAGAACAATCATAGCTTGTGAGTATAAAAGTTACTACAGGATTACAATATCGATTTGGATAAAGAAGGCCCTTTGGACCATTTAATTCTATCCATCCAGACACCATCTTACCATCCCTCTATCACAGAATCAATCTGTTTTTAAATACATCCACTGGACTGGCCTAAACCTGTTCCACCGCCTTGGGACATCCTCCTGATGTGAAAGGCGCTATATAAATATAATGTGTTGTGGTTCTTGTTCCAGTCGGTCATCACCCTCTGGGTAAAGAAAAACATCCTGGAATATCTGTTCTGAAACTGCCCTTTGCAATTCTAACTAACGTCCTCTTGTTCTACTGTCTTGGTGCATCTTTTCACATCGGAGGACGATCCAAAACACTTAACAGTTCTGTCTTGGCACCTGAGCTGGGTTGGGAGTGTGTCAGAGTCAGTATTCACTGGAGGGGCTCAAGACGAGTGAATTAATAACAATAATAATAATAAACATACTTTTTGTTAAACACCTCGCAAGGCACCCTGCTCCTGTCATCCTTCAAACAAACAAATAAACATATTTAGAGATAGTTGTAATGTTGCTCCCCTTGTGTTGCGCTGGAGGTTAGTGTAACCAGGCTGCAGAGGTCATTCAATTAGCTGAAACCAGACACATGTACAAAGCTGTGAAAGTTGCTTATACAAATCTTATCTATATGTTTCATTATTCTAAACCCCTGCCAACAGGTCTCTCCTCACTCTTTTCTTTATCTTTGTCTTAATCTCTCAGTCTCTTAAGGCCTGAAGTCACCCTCAATATTTATTCTTTCCAATGCTTATGTGTTTGTTGTGCGTTATGGCCAGAACACCACACACCCACCATTGAACATTGTATTATTCTAACTAGTTTGGACTTGTACTCTAGTGTTCTCCAGATAATTACTTGAACTCATTACAATCCCTTCACTCTCTGGTGCCGCCCTACCTCTCTGACCTCCTCACTCCCCAATCCACCACTCGGTGCATCCGCTCGACTGGCACCGGCTCCTGCTCGTCCCTCACACCCTCCGCCTCACCATTGGAGGTCAGGCTTTCAGCCACTACCCCCCCAAAACTCTGGAATACTCTTCCCTCAATCCCTCCGTGTTGCCCCCTCTCTCCCCTCTTTCAATCTCGCCTGAAAACCTTCCTCTCCGACCGTGCTTACGGCCACCTCCTCCCTTCCCCCCGGCTCGGAGTCAGGCTCTGCCACAGTTAAGCGCTCTGAGATGCTGCACTGTGTGGAGGGCGCTATATAAGTGCAAGTTGTTGTTGTTGTACAGTCACTGCAGGCTGTATATTATCACAAGCGTATGGGTTTTCACAGCTGATTTGCAAAGGGGCTCGTTAGGTTTGATAATGGAGAAGGTTAAAACATCACAATTATCCCTCAATGTGTTTGTTTGTTCAAAAGACAACAGTATCAGGGTGGCTGGTGAAGTGTTTACCTTGCCTGGCTCCTGCTTAGGATATCCTCTTCCTGCCCCTTCAGTTTCCGTATTGCGATAGTTTGTCCATTCGAGCGTGCACTCTGGTTTGAGTGTTGTTCCTCAATCTATTTGAAACAACCGGGTAATGTAATGCAAACGTGTCATCAAAGATGTTTCAGATTATCAGTCTGCTTCACCCCACTTTGAAGCGAACATGAAACAGCACTGTGGCCAGTGCTACAGGTGTTGATCCATTTTTTGATAAGGATTTCATACTGTCGAATGGATCGTTGCAACTGGACTGGAAACAGCAATCATGACAATAACTGCAAGTGATGGATCTCAAAACCATTCACAAGCCACTCACTCCCTGTGAGTGAAAATCCATGTTAAGCCTCAGTTGCATCAATCAATAATGGTTTCCCACTGCGTCGATCAGAGTTTCCTGCTTGTGTGCAATAAATTTTATCAATCATTAACCTGACTGTATCTCCAGTGTCGTCATGTTGTTATCAGGATCTTTGTACTTACTTGATTGCACGTACCCATCTACTTTGACTGAAAAAAATTATTGTGAATAGGTGGACGTTACAGATCCCATGACACTATTTGAAAAGAGAGTGGAGTTTCTCTCAATGTCCAACAGCAACAACAACAACTTGTATTTATATCTTGCCCTTCATGCAGAGAAAGGCCTCGGAGCGTCCAGGGCAATGACCCTCCCAAATAAAATTGGTCATTCTCTTTCTCTGGCCCCAATCCTAGGGCTGGTGTTCTGTCCACTTGCCTGTCAGGCATCAAAACCTGGCTGAGCGTTAACTTACTGCAGCTGACAAGCCACACTAGTCAGCTCCCATTTCATCTGTAGCTCTGACCTGCTTAACTGAGGCTTATCCCTCAGACTCACTGAATCTGTGCGCAATCTAAATTTCGGGCATGGATTCTCAGTTGTCCTTCCTTCTACACATCCAGTCCCTGATCAGGACCGCTTTCCCCCACCTCCGCCACGTCGCCTGACTCCAGCTGTAACTCACACCCAACGCAGCTGAAATTCTCCTGCCTCGAGTTTTCCAATGCCCTCCTCGCCAGCCTCCCCAGCTCCACAATCCATTAAAGCAAACTGATTCAAAACTCCGCCACCCACGTCCTCACCCGAACCAAACACCACATATCCATCGCTGCAGTCACCCCGTCACCTCACAGGCTCCGCTGGCTTACTAATGGATCAATTTCAAGATGCTCACACTCATGTACAAATCACTTCATGCCCTGGCACCTCTTTTCCCTGCCTCCTTCACACAGGTCCTTCAGTCCTCTGTCCTTCTGCAGGTCCTTCAGTCCATCCATTCCACCACCTGTGGTCATGCTTTCAACCACTTCTCCCAGACCCTCTGTCACTCCCTGCCTCAATAGGAGCTTGAAGCCGTACAAGGGAGAGAGGGGATGTGACAGTAGGTATGATCCCCCCTTGCCTGTCGCACCTAAAGCCCTCCCTCTATGACCATACCTACCGTACCTCCCCTCTTTCCCTGGCACAGCGTCAAGCTCCGCCACTGTCAAGCACCCCCTCCCCCCCAAGATGCTACCCTGCGTGAAAAGTGCTGTATAAACACTAGTTGCTGTTATTCACTTGGTGGCTGTGGGACATTGCTGTGCACAAACTGGCTGTGGCATTCGTCCATAAAACACACAGTCACTGCACTTTACAGTATATACCTTGTGAAGCGCTTTGGGACATCCCTCTAACATAACGTAAAAGCACTCTAAAAAATGTAAGTATTATTATACTTTCAATGTGGGCAGATCACAATATGAATAAGCTATTGATGATGTTACGGTTTAACATTTCTTAAATTGTGAAAGACGGACAGAGAGAATCATATTTCCTTAAACAAACCCACAGGTGGGTTGTGACGGCAAAGATTCAATTGTTCTAGATTCTGGCATGTCAGACATGTCAAAGTGCACTTGATGACTCATTCCAAAGTTGGTTGGAACGATGCCTGACAGTTCCAGAGCATACATAATCAGAGATGACACAGACTAGGGTTTGTTAATTAAAAGCCCTGGGATAATATAAAGTTGATCATGACCTTTACTGTATCACATCTCCTCGTGATATGATGTTGGAAAGATTTTAGTCCCAGTTCTGTTTCAATAAAACAGAATGGCTCAATGGCTCAGTTAGAAAACATACTGCACAAAGTACAACTGAGCCACACAGTTTAGGAAACGATTGATCCCATCATCATTTGCCGATCTTAACGAGGGAAATTGTTCTGAGCACCAAGCGCTTGTAGTAAAATACACGGAATCAGGAGTTCACCACGCGGGGAATGGTGGAGTCACACTCTACCCTCTGTAATGTTCGCTGTTTGGGATTGTGGACCTCAACAAAATGGTATTTAGCGAAACCAACGTACAATACCAAATAACAATTGCACAGCTCCTTTCACGTCAGGAGGATGTCCCAAGACGCTGGACAATCAGGGATTTGGACCTGAGCAGTGGGTTGTAATCAGGGAGGGGTGGAGGGCAGGGACGGTAGGGGTAGGGGAGTGGCTGAAGGTGCAGTCGAAGAGGAAGGTCTTGAGATGGGCCATGAAGGAGGGAAGGGAGGGAGCAAGGCAAAGGGAATGTGGGATGGAGTTGTAAAGGGCAGGGGCAGAGAGACGGGGGACACAGCCTGCTGAGTGGAGGGAGCAGAGAGGTTGACATGTAGAGGATAACACAGGAACATTTCCCACTATTGTCCCATCATTAATAGAACTTTTATTGTGCGTTGCTTGCAGGTGGCTTGGCAGCTGTGATCTACACTGACACTCTGCAGACCATCATCATGGTGGTGGGTTCCTTCATTCTGATGGGCTTTTGTAAGTGTATCCGTGTTGTGTACTTTGGTGCTTTGCAGGGGTGAAAGGTGAAAGGTAAAGATAGGCCCCTTCTTTTCTACACATGGAAGCAGCTGCCATTATTACCTGGTTATTTGGGGCCGGTTGTCTGACACATGTGGAAACCCATCACCATTGCTTAAGAGCATCCAAACCAAGCTGAGATTTCCACTCTCTCCCTGAAGGGATACATTCTGCTTAGCTAATTCTGGAAAGCATTAGGAGCAGGTTAACAAGAGCCATGGCCAACAGTGTGCGTTGGGGTAACTGCTGGAGTCTAACCAGCTAAAACCACATAGCTTGCCATTGATAGCACGGCCTGGAAAGCTTCTAAGCTGCCTGTCCAGCTAGGACCACCCTACCCATTAGGGCTTTGGCTTACAGGGTTAACAGGAGCTGAGTGAGATGACTCTCTGCCCCCAGTGACTAGTCTGCCCTTCCAGGTCCTACCGATGAGCCAGGCTGGGCTGAGCTGTCATCAGCAGTGCCCTGGTACAATGCGGACCTGCCTGGCTCAGGAACCAACTAGAAACCGTCACAGAGGGCTGGCTCGATTCTGACATTCCATTGCCAAGCATGTCTCCTTGGGGCCAGTTTAACTGCAAGGAGACCCCACTTACCTGCCCCCCAAAGGAATGTATTTCACAGTACTGTAGCATAACGGTATTGTAAAGAGACAGATAACATTTGCATATCTTACGTTACAGCATTCAATGAGATTGGTGGATATAATGCATTGGAGGAAAAGTACATGAATGCCATCACAACCAAGACCACTGATCCATTATTCAACATCAGTGAGAAGTGTTATACACCCAGAGCAGATTCATTCCATTTGTTTCGAGATCCTATTAACGGCGACTTGCCCTGGCCGGCTCTCATCTTTGGACTAAGTGTACTGGCTATATGGTATTGGTGTACTGACCAGGTAATATTACTATTATTACATCCAGATGGTCATCCAAACATATCAACCGCAGAGGTATCTGCCCCCACCCTCTGGAACTCCATCCCACAGTCCCTCTGCCTCGCTCGCTCCCTTGCCTCCTTCAAGGCATATCTCAAGAATGTTTTTTTCCAAATATCTATACGTTTTACAGTATAAGAACATAAGAAAAAAAAACAAGATTCATCTAGTTCGCCTTCCACCTTCATGCACAAATGTTCCCGAATTAACTATGTGCTGGATCCCATAATGTTATTTCCCAAAAGAAAACTATCCAACCTGTGTTTGAAGGAATCAACATTTCCCGCTTCAACCATCTCCCCAGGGAGTCTGTTCCACAGGTTCACTATTCAACTGTATTTTATTGTGAGACTGTTCAGATTGGGGGGGGATAAAATGTTTAGCGTACTGGAGATCCCATTTGGCCAGATCAGTCCATGCCACCAACCCATCACTTGGTACTTAAATCCATTGCGGATGGCCCCTACCAACCCATCCCCACCACCTAAGGGTCTCACATTCTAAATTTCCAATGGGATTTTTTGGGAGTGTGACAGAGGTACAATAACAGACTAAGTGAATTTTTTTGTATCTACTAAAACAGCATCATCCAAACTACAGCCTGCTGTCCGGTTCCAGCTTTTTCTTGATTGAATATTTCTCGATTTATGGCATAATTCAAGACATATTCAGTCAAGAAAATGTATTTTGTTGGCCGACCAAAAAAGGATTAGCCGCCACGGCTACAAATATGTGACCTTTGGTTTCAGGAGCAGTTTAACCCTTTTAACTTCATGTCACAGGTAATAGTTCAACGTTGTCTCTCAGCTAAAAATATGAGCCACGTGAAGGCTGGTTGCATTCTATGTGGTTACCTCAAACTGCTTCCCATGTACCTCATGGTTTTCCCAGGAATGGTCAGCCGAGTTCTGTACACGGGTAAGTTTCATATAGGATACCGTCTTTTCAGACGTTACCCTCTTATACAAAGAGTCTCTGCTAATGCTGCTTCTTCTGTACTTACAGACAAGATGCACAAGGCTTGTGATATGCCCCTCTCAAGGCTTGCCTCCAGCCTGCACCTCTCTTCATCATAACCTTGCTTTGTGTTTATTTTTCTTGTATCCTAGTTAAACCTCGTCAGCGTTTTTTAAAAAAAAATCTAAATTAATGTTGAAACCTGAGTTAGATACTACCTTGCAATTGACAGACAACTAAAATATTAATTATATAAATAAAAACAGAAGTCGCTGGGAACACTCAGCAGTTCAGGCAGCATCTATGGAGAGAGGCAAGCGAGTTAACGTTTCAGGTCGATGACCTTTCGTCAGAACTATTATATATTAATATATATAGAATGTATATTAATATATATAACAAAAATATTAATTATTAATTTAGAGTTCAGACTCTCCTGGTATAAAAGTGATCACTGCCTGGTTTGATGCAGAGTCACCCAGGTCAAGATCACAGCTGAGACTTGGTTCAGTGTTGAGAAAGCTGTCTTCATTCTCATCAGTTGTGAGAGCACAATGATGAAGTCAGCTTCCGCCTCACTGTCAGAGAAAAAAAAATCCTGCTTCCAGTTTCTCACAATAGGTGGGGACTGAAATTCCAGTCAGGATTCTGTGTACATTGGCGATGGAGTTTCAGCCCTCAAATGCGAACACGAACAGACTGAGCCGTGTCCCTGCCACATCTGAAATTGCTCCCAAATACTCACGCATTGTCTCACCACCCGCAAAATATTGCAACTCGGACAAATAATTGTCAGGGCTGCTACCAGCTATAGAATGATACTCTAGCACTAGTCAGTGTGTTCAGAGAATGAAGTGAAAATGGAACTGACCAGCTTCCATCCTATATGTAACAATAATCCTTGCGCCTTATCACGTCTTCGAGCTGTCTCAAAGCGCTTCACAGAATATACTGTAAAGGGGATTGACTGTATATTAATTTAGGTGACACTGATTCACTTTTCTTTGATTCTCTTTCTTCTAGATGTTATAGGTTGTGTCGTACCTTCTGTATGCAAACAATACTGTGACACAGAAGTTGGATGCAGCAACATTGCCTATCCCCGATTGGTGGTGAAGCTAATGCCACAAGGTGAGAGTGCCAGTCATTAGTTATATCATAGAATCATAGAATATTACAGCTTAGAAGGAGGCCATTCGGCCATCGTGCCTGTGCGGCTCTTTGTAAGAGCCACCCAATCAGCCCCACTCCCCCGCTCTTTCCCCAAACCCCTGCAATTTTTTCCTTTTCAAGTGCCTCTCCAATTCCCTTTTGAAAGTTGTAATTGAATCTGTTTCCACCCTTTCAGACCGTAACAACTCTCTGTGTAAAAACATTTCTTGAATCTACGTGCCCTGGTTACTGACCCACCTGCCAGTGGCAACAATTTCTCTCTATTCACTCTATCATAGCCCTTATATGAAAAACGTGAAGCTGTAAAGCAAGTTTCAATAACTCTACCAGTTGTCTTCCTCAAGAACCGTGCAGTCGATTTTATAAATTAATTCAAGAAGCAACTAAATGTGTTGATGGTATGATTGAGAATGGAGTTTGGGAAGAAAGATAAGCGAAGCTGAGGCATCGGAAAGAGATTAACTCATTGAACCTACTGAGCTTTCCACATTCTTTTTCTTGCAATAGGCAGCACAGAAACAGTCCTGGTCAAAGTGACACATGAAATTCTGTGCATCAGTGACCAGGGCTCCCTCTGCCTCCTCATCCTCCTTGATCTCTCTGCTGCCTGTGACACCATCGACCACATCCATCGCCTTTCCTCTCACCTCAACCTTCACCCCCTGTCCTTGACTGGTTCAGATCCTGCCTCTCACACCACCTCCACTTCATCTCCACAAATTCCTTCTCCTCCAGTCCCCAGACCATCTTTTGTGGCGTTCCTCAGGACTCTGTCCTTAATCCCCTCCTCTTCAACATGTATATGCTCCCTCTTGGTGACATCATCCACGGACATGGGGTCAACTTCCACATGTATGCGGATGACACCCAACTCTACCTTTCTACCTCCACCCTTGACTCCAGGACCCACTGCTGTGCTCACAGAATGTCTGTCAGACATGAAGTCCTGGATGAGAGCTAACTTTCTGCACGTCACCAAGACCGAGGCTCTCCTGATTGGCTCCCGTCAGCGCCTCCTCATCTCAGGCACTGACAGCATCGCCATCCCTGGGGCTCACTCCCCCTCACTGAGCCAGTCCAGAACCTTGGGGTCTTGTTTGACCCTCAACTATCCTTTCTACCCCACATCTGCGACACAACCTGACTACCTCCACCTCCGCAACGTTGCCCGGCTCCGACACTGTCTCACACCGCAGGCCCCCGAAACCCTCATACACGCTTTCATTACATCGAGGCTTGACTGTACAAACTCACTGCTTGTCAGCCTCCCCAACTTCTCCCTCCATAGGCTGCAGATTATCCAGAACTCTGCAGCCCGTGTCCTCTCCCGCACTAGGCTCTGTGACCCTATCACCCCCATCCTCGCCCAACTCACTGGCTTCCCATCACACAGAAGATTTAGTTCAAGATCCTGGTCCTCACCTTCAAAGCCCTCCTATCGTCTTGCTCCCCTCTACACCTGCGACCTCCTAATCCCCTACCATCTTGCTCGCTCCCTCCGCTCAGCGAGCTCTGGCCTGCTTCACGTTCCCCGCCTCGATCGCCCCACCATTGGCAGGCGCCCCACCTTCTGCCACTCTGCCCCCACGCTCTGGAACTCCTTCCGCAGTCCCTCTGCTTCGCCCCCTCCGTTGCCACTTTCAAGACCCATCTCAAGACCCCCCTGTTCAACCATGCTCTAATTCAAGAAGCAACTAAATGTGTTGATGGTATGATTCAGAATGGAGAATGGAGTTTGGGAAAAAGATAAGCGAAGCCGAGGCATCGGAAAGAGATTAGCTTATTGAACCTACTGAGCTTTCCACATTCTTATTCTTGCTTCGCCCCCTGCCCTCTACCCTCCCCCAGCCTGACCCCCAGCTCGGGTCCGAAACACTGAATGTCCAGTGTCTTAGGACTTCCTCCCGACGTGAAAGGCGCTTTAACAAATGAAATTTCATTGTTGTTGTTGTTGTTGTTTAGACGACTTTTCTGAGGTGCCATGTCTCTCCTGTTAGGTTTACGGGGTTTGATGTTGTCTGTAATGTTGGCTTCTTTGATGAGCTCCCTGACATCCATCTTTAACAGTGCCAGTACCCTCTTTACCATGGACCTTTACACCAAGATCAGACCACATGCCAAAGAAAGAGAGCTCATGTTAGCAGGGAGGTAAGAATATTCTCTACGTGAAAGAATCGACTTGGTTGGGAACTGAACCCTTACTTTTTCTGCAGGTCTTTTGTCTGTGAAATATTTTGTCTCTGAGAGAATTGGTTCATGTACATTATTGTATCCAGCACTGCACCTCTGAAAAAAAATTCTACAGTATCAAATCCACTCAAACAGCAGGAGAGCTTTCTTACTGCTTACCTTTCCTCAAAAATATGCAGTCACTACACTCACAGTATACTAACTGAAGGGTTTTAGATGTCTTGAAGACGTGATAAGGAGCTCTGTCAAATGCAAGGATTATTATTACTATATTACAAATGCACAGTCACTACACTCACAGTAAAATCCTGTGAAGTGCTTTGAGACATGTCACTGACACGATGAAGCACTTTATCAACTGTGAGGATTATTATTACTTTAATACAAGCCTAAAACTACCAGAATAACTGCAATAAACAAAATGTTTCACTGATATAGTACTTAGGAGAAAGTGTCCAAGTGCTTTACTGTGATGGAATAGCAGCCAGGCTGGGAGTGACGGGACGGCTGTGTGGTGAGGTGGACAAAGGCTCAGTCGAAGACAGTGGTTTTTTGACAGGTTTTCAAAACAGAGAGAAAGAGAGCAAAATGGTGGTGTTTCATCGAATATTTCAAAAGTATTTTAGAAAGGTATTTCAACTCACGGATTATTATAAGAGAGCTCGAAAGGGTGGGTGCAAAGTGGTTGAAGCTCATAGTGAGGCAGAGAGAGTGGGGGACATGAAACCTGCTGGAATGGAGGGATTGGTCTGTGGGGGGTTAGGACCACAGAAGATCGGAGAGGAAGGGTGCGGCAAGGCACGGAGGCATTACCTAAAGGAACTTAGTTGGTCTGCAGGGGAATAGGGAGCAGTGGAGCTGATCAATATTTCTTAGGGTATCAAGGGATACGTGGTAAGGGAGGGTAATGGGAATTGAGGTACAGATCAGCCATGATCTAATAGAATGGTGGAACAGGCTCAAGGGGCTGAATGGCCTCCTCCTGTTTCTCTGTTTCTAAGGATGGTAGGATTGAAACCAGCAAAGTTCAATCATGGCAGTGTAGCAAGGAGCAGAGACGGTGAAGAAGGTCAACAGTGTCAAGTCAGTAGAGAGGCTGAGGATAACAATAATAATAATTATAATAAAAGTAATAATAATATTAGTAATCCAAGCATTTGACAAGGAATCAAAGGGAGCCAAGGTCACTGACAGAGAGGATGTTGTTTGTGACCTTGTTTTGGTGCTGTGGACAGATGTGGAAGCCAAATTAGAGAGACTCATACAGGCCTGCACGAAGAGATAGGGGAGTTCGGAGACTCCGCCCGGCGTGAAGGGCGCTATATAAATGCACGTTGTTGTTATTGTTGCTCCTGGGAGATATTCCAGCATCTGGGAGAGGAATGGTAGGCTGGAGATGGGAAACTTAGAGGCATCCAGTTAAAATTTTGAGAAAACAAGTTTAACAATTTTTTAAAAATATTTTAAAAATGTTCCGTGTTCGTGTCCTGTTGTTATCTGGGTGTGACCTCAGGCACAGCTCTCCAACAAACGTTAATATTAGCTTCCTTGTAACAACCACATATTGTACTTGAACCTCAAAAGGATATGGGATAATTAATCTACTAATATATGCTGAAATGGGCATTTGATAAACATGTTGCAACCTGTGCTTGATAGTTTGCTAATGTGCGTTGCCATAGTCTGCTTGACTCAGTTGGTATCACATTCACCTTTGAAGCTTCTATTCCCAGATTGAAACTTGAAACTCATAATAATAATAATAAAAATAATCTTTGCATTTGATACAGCGCCTTATCACATCTTTGAGACTTCTCAAAGCGCTTCACGGGATATACTGTAAAGTGAATTGACTGTACATTTTGTGGGCGAAACGCAGCAGCCAATTGTGCACAGCAGCGTCCCCACAAACAGTCGTGGATTCAGTGACCAAATTATTATTATTATTTTTTTAGAAGGAATCATAGCCTAAAATGAAACTCCGATGCTGTGCTGGGGGTGTACTGCATTGTTGGAGATGCCATCCTTCAGTTGAGACATCAACTCGAGGCCTCATCTGCCTGTTCGGGTGGACGCCAAAGATCCCCATGGTCCTATTCGAAAAGAGAAGAGAAGCTTCTCCCAATGTCCTGGGCAACAATCCCTCAAATAAAATTGTTGACTCACTTCACGACCGTTTGTTGCTGTATGCAAATTGGCTGCCACGTTCGTCCCACAATACACACAGTCACTACACTTCACAGTAAATCCTATGAAGTGCTTTCAAGCTCCCAATGTATTAAATGTAAGAATTATTATTATTATTATTATTGTTTGGCTGAAAATGTTCAGAAATTCCTATCAATTACTTGTGTTGGACTTGATTAACTTTGAAAACTTAACATTCCAAACAATAGATAACTATAAACTATATATAAAAATTATTATATCATAAATATGAAGGTTGTCACGGACATTACATGAGCCAAAGGGCTTCATAATGCTGAACAATTTACCATTTATACATTGCTTGTTGCGGAATTGAACGGAAATGAAATAGCTTGTCTTGCGACAATTATAATTAATCTATCAAACCCAATAGAACACATAAAAATTATCATATTTATTTTCTCAGAGTTTTCATCCTGGTGTTGATTGGAATCAGCATTGCTTGGATCCCAATTGTACAAACTGCACAGAGTGGCCAACTCTTTGACTACATCCAGTCCATCACCAGTTACCTTGGACCACCTATAGCTGCAATCTTCTTGCTGGGCATCTTTATCAAACGTGTAAATGAACAAGTAAGTTTCCATTATTCAGTCACAAGGGGAACAACCAATTGTAGTGGTTAGAGAGCTCGCCTCGCAAGCGAGAGGACCTGGGTTTGATTCCCGGGCAGGGAAAAACCTAAGCAAGTTTTCTTACTCCACACGCCTTTGTTTAATAGCAGTAAGGAGGAACCTGGTTGATAGTCAATTGGCGGATTGTTTTACTAGGGGTAATAATCCCTTCAAAAATAAAATTAATTAAAAAAAATTATTTGGTCACTCAATCCAAGACTGTTTGTGGGACGCTGCTGTGTGCAATTGGCTGCCACATTTCGCCCAAAAATATACAGTCAATTCACTTTACAGTATGTTGTGTGAAGCGCTTTCAGACGTCTCGAAGATGTGATAAGGCGCTGTATCAAATGCAAGATTATAATTATTATTGTTATATCCAGAGGATTGTTTCTGTAAGGAATAATTGGTCAACTGGGGTTCTCCAGCCTTAAAACGAGACATCTCAGAGAGGACTTTCTAGAGGTTTACAAGCTATTGAATACATCAGAGATGTACGATTGATGGTGTTCTGCACTAGCCCTCAACCTGTTTCTCAAATTTAAAATAAGTTCCTCCAAGGCTCAGTTCTTAAAGGTGTGGTGCGTAGCTGAGACATTCATCTTAAGAAGCTTTACTTCTAGAGTTAGTTCATCTAAATTGGAACAATGGAAGTGGATCTACAATTGGTTTCAGCTCCGGAATCAATAACAATAATAATCCTTGCATTTGATACAGCACCTTATCGCGTCTTTGAGACGTTTCAAAGCGCTTCACAGAATATACTATAAAATGAATTGACTGTATATTTTGTAGGTTTACTGCTAGGCAAACAGAGGCGTGTGGAGTAAAGAAACTTGCCCAATGTTTTGCCCTGCCAGGAATTGAACCCAGGTCCTCTCGCTTGCGAGGCGAGTGCTCTAACCACTGAACTACAGGACTCCACGGAAGGTTTCCATTCTGAATTGCTGTTGAATGAACCTTGCTGGGTGAGGTGTGGCTAGGAGATGTTGGGTGAGGTCGGGGTTGGGCTTGGCTGTGACACCGCAGTCACTTCACTCAGTGGAATTCAGTGATTGGGCTCATGTGTGAAGAATTGGCAGGACACTGGAGATGTCGAGCGAGAGAAGAAAAGATCGGCGAAAATTGGCGACGGTGGAAACATGAATAAAAGCAAACATTCAATTCATAATTTGACTGCTGCACATTGCAAGGGAAACCATGTCGATATAAAGTGCGGCATGTACAGTCTGGGCACTGACCTGTATTATAATCCGTATGTTTCAGGGTGCTTTTTGGGGGTTAATAATTGGCCTTTTGATCGGGCTGTCCCGAATGATCACCGAGTTCGTGTACGGAACAGGGAACTGTGTGAAACCTTCCAACTGCCCGTGGATTATTTGCGGAATCCACTACCTGTACTTTGCCCTCATCCTTTTTGGTGCCACCTGCATAATTGTGCTTGGCGTCTCTCTCATCACAAAACCGATCGACGACGTACATGTGAGTATGAAGTACAGTGGGCAACACTGTGAGTGTGCACAGAGAGGGAGAGGATGCAAATGTACGTTTTATTTGATGATTGATGCACCGATTCTTGGCTTTTCCTGATTTACCAAATACAAAAAATACAAAGTGACATTTGCACAGCGCCTTTCATGGCCTTTCATATCGGAAGGACATCTGAAGGGGCTGGACAGTAAGGGATTTGGACCCGAGCGGGGGTGGGTGAGTGGGTGGGGGCCGGGGAGTAGGGGGTTGAGGGTTTGTCATCATTGGGGGTGGACGGCAGGGAGGGTAGGGGTAGGAGGGTGGCCAAAGGCACGGTCGAAGAGGAGGGTCTTGAGACACACCTTGAAGGAGGCGAGGGAGGGAGTGAGGCAAAGGGATTGTGAGATGGAGTTCCAACGGAGATGTTAACTGTCTAAACATATTGTTCCTCATACCAGCTGTACCGCCTCTGTTGGAGTCTCCGGAACAGAAAGGAGGAGCGTATCGATTTGGATGCTGGCAACAGTAGTAATAATGACAATGACAGTGAAGCAGAGGACGATGAAGGTAACAGTTTAATGATTTACTTTTTTTGAGTAATTGGAAAAAATAGAGTTTTTCTGGTCAACCGCTTTGGTCACTTGCATCACCGTGCTTAAAACTATCCAAACCAGACTGACAGTTCCATGCATCCCATCTACACATGGAAATTCTCTTGTATTGGAATGGAATGCACATTCTCTCCCTGGAGGGACACATCCTGCTTACCTTATTGGGGTGAATATTAGACGCACGATAGTAGGAGCCAAGGCTTGGGGACCCCAGTGTGTGCAATGTGATACTACTGGTACTTAACCAGCTAAAGCACATAGCTTACCATTGAAAGCACTGTCTGGATTGGAAAATCTGTAGTCCTGTACTTAATAGAAGGAAATATTTTAGGTGGCTCCTCTCCTAGTCTATAGCATCCTCTAACTCAGCCAAGGGGCTTCACTTCCCGTAGATGGTGAGGACAATGGTACTGTCAAGTTTCCATCACAAGAAGATAGAATGGAGACACGTACACTTTACAACACTGACTGTTTTTCCCCCTCTCTCCCTCCCTCCATCATTCCCAACACTATTGAATCCACAGATAAAGCTATTGGTGATACTGAAAATTAGAAATTTCTAAAACATAAACCAGATACGAGAATAATAATAATAATAATAATAATAATCCTTGCATTTGATATAGCGCTTTTCACGTCAGGAGGACGTCCCAAAGCGCTTCACAGAACACACTGTAAAGTGAATTGACTGCAAGAATACTTCATTAAGAAAGAATTTAACTTATCTCCCTGCGCTATAATATGGAACTCATGTACAGTAGTGTACAATGAATTTTCAGCAGCAGCAGAGAAAACATCAGGACACAAGATCCCAGCCCAACAATACCATGTCACTCAGTTGGTTGAGCAATAGTCTGGAAACAGGAAGGCTCTGGGTTATAATCCAGGTGGATTATCAGGCCTACTACCCTCTTGAGGTCAATGAATGAGTAACACAGAAGTAATAATAGACATTTAGAGCACAGAAGGAGACCATTTGGCCCATCGAGTCTGCACTGACTCTCAGAGCTAATCAGGGTCTCCTGAACTAGTTGAACCAGTTTACCAGCTTGCCCTGAACTCTGCGTTTTCCTGTGTCCCTCTTGCCTCACAGAGTCAGAACCACGGGAGGTAGGCATGTGCAGGAAAGCCTACAACTGGTTCTGCGGATTTGAGGACAAGGGCCCAAAGCTGAGCAAAGAAGAACAGGAAGCCATTCAGCAGAAGCTGACAGACACATCAGAAGACCCACTCTGGAGGAACGTAGTCAATATCAATGCCATCATTCTGCTCTCGGTCTGTGTCTTCTTCTGGGCATTTTACGCATAAAATCAACGACAGGCTGGAAAAATCTCACACAAGGGCCCAATTCCTGAAAGTTTATTGAACACTTACCAGTAATAAATATACAATGCAATGTTGATAAAAAAAGTATGATGATCACAAACGTTATTGTGTTGAACAGGTTGATGTTGATGATGAGAATAGAATGTAATTTAATTTAAAATGAACAAATGTAGAAGAAGAAAAAGAAGAAGAAACAGTAGGAATATAAGCCAAATGTCTGTAGGGTGTGACACAGAAGGATTCTGGTGTATTGAATCTATCCACGCAATGTGCATCAACAATAAAGCGTAACCAACATTTCTAGAGGTGCACAAACAAAGGAATGGAGCATAAATAATGGGAAGTGATACGGAAATTGCACACGAAGCTGGTCCAAATAGTGGGGATGATTCTCTGTTGCCACATTACAATATTGGCATTAGAGAAAGAACCACAAAGGATAAACTAAATTAATAACTGGGATTGCGCACCAGAGGCTCACTGGATCACAGAGAGGCTGGGAATGTTCACACTGAAGAAGGGAAAGATGAGGGAGAGATCTCACACCATCATATTCATGATTGTAAATGGTATTAACTGAACCCAAAGTGATAAAGTTAACATACTCAGGATTCTACAATGAGGAGATCAGAAGAGGGAAGGTGAATAGACATCCCCAACATCTGAAACTCACAATGAGCTAAATGGCTGCTAGCCTTGCATATTAACTGTTCTATTTAAGAATCTCAACTTAACTCTTCAGCACCTTCTCCTGTATGATTTTGTTTGATAACCTTTCACTGACTGATGCAGCTACCTCAAATAATCCGAACCATCAGAAAAAGAATATATTGAACACGCTCAATAAAAGTTTCCATGAACCGTAAATGACAAATTCAGTTGCCAATTGTATCGTAAAAAAAATTAAAGGGATATTCAAGTGTATTCTACAGTTTAACCTCTTTTTTTATTTCACTGTAAATAAAATGCCCAATCAAATAGCACAGTGCTTTTTAATCCCTCCAGTGACATTTCTGATGCTTTCAGTACAAACAAGTTTGCTCCGAAATTCTCCCAGGTCAGAAGGACACCGGTAATGATATATTAATATAATTGATAATAATATTTTTTTTGTCAGCCAGGTGTCTGACACATGCGGAAACCCATCACCATGCTTAAGAGTCTCCAAACCAAGCTGAGCATTTCTCTGCATTGGAATCCTAGCGATAGATAGATTTTTGGAATGGGATGCTCACTCCCTCTCTCTCTCTCTCCCTTGGAGGAATGGATCCTGTTTACCTAATTCCGGAGAGTATTAGGCGCAGGTTGGCAAGAATCAAGGCTTGGGGACCTCAGAATGTGCGTTGGGGTCTAACCAGCTAAAACCGAATAGGTAACCCATCGATAAGCCAGTTCAGCTCCAAGGAGACCCCTCACACTTCCCCCCAAGGAGGATACTCATAATCATATAGTAATTGACTTACAATATTACAATATAAAATTTCCTTTGTTTTGTTTCTCTGGTGTCCCAGGTCCTGGTGGACAGTGCTCTGGTCAGGGCACATCTAAGATGGTGCCTCCACTTCTGATAAGGGGCACCCCAGGTACAAGAGGCGGCAGAGAGGAGAGCAGTGAGGAGGGGCACCCAGTGATAGAGGAACAAGTTACGAACACTGATTAGACAAGCTGGGGCTCTTCAGCTTTGACATCATAGGGGCATCTTACACAGGCATATACGATTTGAAATGGGATTGATAAAGTAAACCTAGAATAATAATGTTCCAATACACAGAGGTATTCCAATATATCGAGGCGTTCCAGAAAGAAAAACAAAAGAAGCTGATCGATGCATGATGCAGGAAGTAAGTTTTTAAAAAAATACACGGACAGGGTGTGAAACTATGTGAATATTTGCTAAACTGTGAACAATACAATCTTTAGCAAATACACTGCTGGCACAAACATGGGACTCTGACGGCTAAATAAATATGACTGACTACCACAAAAATGTAAGAACGAACACAGATATGTGAGAAACACCAGCTTTACCCCTGGTTCCAAAGTGTTCATCACCTGTCAAGAGGAAAGAGCATTTTCCAACTAGCTTATTCTCCCACTTGTAATTGAAGGCGGTAAATTCAGAACAAATCTATGCAAACACTATTTAATTGAGCAAACAGTGAACCTGTGGAACAGGCTCCATAGGGAGACGGTTGAAGCAGGAAATGTTGATTCCTTCAAACACAGGTTAGATAGTTTTCTTTTAGGAAATAACATTATGGGATATAACACATAAGGAGTTTGGGACGTATGTGCATGCGACAACCAGGAAGGTGGAAAGGGAACTAGATGGACCTTAGTCTTTTCTCGGCCAGTATTTCTTATGTTCTTATGTTGTACCCGAGAACAGGTTATACAAAGATAGCTCCGCTTTTGTGCAGATCTAACTAGGTTCCTTCCACCCACACCTTGACCATTAATTGTCCACAGTTTGACCATATTCTCCCCATATGTTGAGTATTTTTCCCTGAATGGTCAATGGTGAGACCTTTCTCCCTTCTGTCCGACTGTTAACTGATTCATATCAACAAATGCTGCTTCAACAACTTTGTTTTATTATAAAAGGCAAGATTGATGTGTTTTCACACTTGGCACTGCATTCACCACCTCCTCACACCCCCACCCACCACTTCTCGCCTGGGTCATGCTGAGGGTAAGGACACAGGAGTCAGCCATAATAATAATCCTTGCATTTGATATAGCGCTTTTCACGTCGGGAGGACGTCCCAAAGCGCTTCACAGAACACACTGTAAAGTGAATTGACTGTATATTTGTGGGCGAACGCGGCAGCCAATTGCGCACAGCAATGTCCCACAAACAGTCGTAGATTGAAAATGACCAATTTATTATTGTTTTTGTTTTTTGGAGGGATTATTATTAGGCTCTGTGTGGAGTAAGGAAACTTGCCCAAGGTTTCGCCCTCTGCCTGGAATTGAACTCAGGTCTCTCGCTTGCAAAGCGAGTGCTCTAACCACTGAGCTACAGGCCATCCTCTGGTACTTCACTCGAGTAAACATTCTTTGCCCATGAGCTTAAGTTGAGACGGAGTATTTAATCACAAGGGCTTCACAGCTGAGCCTGATCCGTGATTTTCAGAATTAGCATTTTTCTTTGCAAACAAAATGAAACAAACAGGAACAGTAATCCTGATTCATTTAGTGCACGGACACTGAAACAAACTCTCTCTCTCCTATCTCTCTCACCTCACTTTGCTGTGTGGTAGTAGGAGCGTCGTGACTGGCAAACAAAGTTGGCAATTGCACAGACTGAAACTGAACATCCTGGAATGGGTTCTTACAGCATTACATGTGGATGCTTCCACTTGTTGTTGAGTCCATATCTAGAGGGCATACATGTGAGTTAGTCAATAATAATATTCCTTGCATTTGATTAGAGACGTCTCAAATCACTTCACAGAATATACTGTAAGTGGAATGACAATAGTAGACCTAATGGAACCAATGGATCGCATTTTGCCTCCTCCAGCTGCAACTCCAGGTCCCCAATGGTCTATCAGCTTATCTGGCAGACATCAGGGCCTGGATGAGTGCAAACTTCCTGTAGCTGAATGTGGACAAAAAGGAAGTCATATTCCTTGGCTCCCATCAATGCCTTCACTCCTGTGGATCTAAACACCTCAACCTCCCTGGGCTCTCCTTCACACTCACTGAACTGGGGCACAACCTTGGTGTCTGGTTCGACCCCCAGCTGTCCTTCCTCCCCCACATCTGGTCCCTGATCAGGACCCCTTCTTCCACCTCCGCCACATTGCCCCCCTCCAATTGTACCTTACCACAAATGCAGCCCAAACCCTCTTGCATGTTTGTCACCTCCCGCTTGGATTACTCCAACACATTCCTCGCCGGTCTCCCCAGCTCCACCATTCACAAGATCAGCTCATTCGACTCTCTGCCGCCCACATACTGACCCGAACCAAACTCCACACCCACATCTCACTATTTCTGGCCCAGGCTCCACTGGCTCCCCATCACCGAACAGATCGACTTCAAGATCCTCACAGTCGTGTTCAAATCCCTTCCCTCCCTAGTCCCTCCCTCCCTCTCCGGCCTCCTCACTCCCCAATCCACCACTCGGCGCCTCCGCTCGACTGGCACTGGCTCTTGCTCGTCCCTCGCACCCTCTGCCCCATCATCGGAGGTCGGGCTTTCAGCCACTATGCCCCAAACACTCTGGAACACTCTCCCTCAATCCCTCCGTCTTGCCCCCTTTTTCTCTCCCCTTTTTCAAGTTGCACCTGAAAACTTTCCTCTTCAACCGTGTTTACGGCCACCTCCCCCCTCCCTCCGGTCGGAGTCAGGCTCCGCCATTGTTAAGCGCACTGAAACACTATATGCGTGGAGGGCACTATATAAGTGCAAGTTGTTGTTATTGTTGTTGTAATAGGGAGTTTAGGGGAATTTCTTCCCACAGAGAATAGTGAGAATATGGAACCCACTGAACTGGCTGGTTGAGGCAGATAGCATCAATATTTATTATAATAATAATCCTTACATTTGATAGAACACCTTTCATGTCTGGAGGACGTCTCAAAGAGCTTCACAGGATATATAAAATAAATGAAAAAAAAATAAAGTTGGCGTGACCAGTTTTATTTGGGGATTAACATGCATGTGGGGTAAAGAAACAGAAGGGTATAGAAGAGAGGAATAGGAGAGGTGGAGCTCGTGTAGAATATAAACACTGGAATAGACCAGTTGGACTGTATCCATGCCATATCACTCCACTCTTGTAACATCAGTTGCAATTATAATAAAATAATAATACTTGCATTTGATATGACTCCTTATAACGTCAATGAGACATCTTAAAGCGCTTCACAGGATTTACTGTACGGTGGACTGACGTGTATTTTGTGGGTGAAACATGGCAGCCAATTGCACATAGCAGTGTCCCACAAACAGCCGTGGAGTGAGTGACCAATTTTATTTGGGGGGATTGTTTGCCAGTACACCGGGAGAGAGAAAGCCCCTTTTCTTTTCAAATTGTGCCATGAGATCTTTAACCTCCACCTGAACAGGCAGACGTGACATCGGTTTAACGTCTCATTCGAAGGACTGTACCTCCGATAATGCCACACACACCCCAGCGCTGCATTGGATTCTCAGCTTAG